ATATATATATATATATATATATATATATATATATATATATACATTTTACAAATCTATTAGTTTAGCATAAACTCAATCATGGTGCGACTAAAAAAAATCTTAACAAAATAATGTTAAGATTTGCATATACTTTATTCTTACTAAATTCATTCATGAAATTTCACGGTATATTATCACGATAAATAATATTATGATTTGATGCGGATAAATTTTTACCGAGTGTGAATACGTTGGGGCAAGAGATAGCGACGTGCTTCCCACAATGCCACCTGCCCACGCGCACACGACCCCACAAATTTGGACTCTATGGACAGAGACTTCAAGAAACCCTAATTTATATATATTTACAAATAAATACACATTTTTTTAAAAAAATAATTTTTATTTTTATTTTAAAAAAACACCACTACTTGATAAGAAACTTCTATAAAGAAAAATTATCCATCAACTCTCTAAAATCATTTCTTACTTACCCCCTTCTCATAATTCTCTCCTTTAGACTTTTTGTAATAGTATTTTTTTTTTCTAAAACCAAAATATAATAAAAGACATATGATATAAAATATACTATGTAATATAAACTTTGTTATTAGTTTTTTCAATCTCTATGTGTGCTTTATTCTCTTTTTTTTTCTCCCTTTGGGTTTGATTCTGTCCAGAGTTTCTGTTTTTCTATAATTTGCATTTGTTTCTTAATTTAGATCTTCACCTTTTTTTTACATCTTTTTCTTCTTTTTTTGTTCTTTATTTTTTATAAAAAATAAAAATATATTTTGCTAATTCTAGCTATCATATCATCTTTGTTTTTCTCTTTACTTGATTCCATGAACTTCTTGTGCATCTAATTCTCCTTTAAAGGAAATTTATTCCTTATATAACCCTAATTTTATCTTCACAACAAGTATAGATTTAAAAAAAGGGGTTTTTATATATATCTTCAAGATAGGTCCAACTTTTTTAGGTTCAAAAATAAGGAAATAAGTAAAAATCTTGAATTTGAGCTAATTTTTTCTTGGTGAATTTTGGAATTATGGCTAATTGGTGGGGTGGTCAGGTGGGCATGTCCGGGCTTGAGCCAGGATCTTGCCCACCTATGCTTCTGACGAAGCAGCTTTCGGTGAATGAGAGTGGGAGTAGTGGTGAAAATCAAGAAGATAATGATAGAGACAATGGTGATCATGAGCCTAAAGAAGGCGCGGTTGAGGTTGGTAATAGAAGACCTAGAGGTCGACCACCAGGATCCAAGAACAAGCCCAAACCCCCAATTTTTGTGACCCGGGATAGCCCTAATGCCCTCCGTAGCCACATCATGGAGGTGGCAGGAGGGACAGATGTCGCGGATTGTATTGCACAATTCGCGAGGAGGCGCCAACGTGGCGTTTGTGTACTTAGTGGGAATGGCTCGGTAGCTAATGTAACCCTAAGACAACCATCATCTCCAGGTGCTGTTGTTTTGCAAGGAAGATTTGAGATTTTATCATTGACCGGAGCATTTTTACCCGGTCCAGCCCCTCCTGGCTCGACCGGGCTAACTGTTTACTTGGCCGGAGGCCAAGGACAAGTGGTTGGTGGTAGTGTTGTTGGGCCATTAATTGCTGCGGGCCCAGTAATGATTATAGCTGCCACTTTTTCTAATGCAACTTATGAAAGGTTGCCACTAGAAGAAGAGGAAGAGGTTGGAGGCGACAACCCCAGCCAATCACAAGTACTGACTGGAAATTCGCCTCCGACCTTAGGTTCAAATGATGGAAGGCCACAACAACATCAACAACATGAATTGCATGATCCATCATCATTACCTATTTATAATTTTACACCAAATATATTACCAAATGGTGGACAATTGAATCATGATGCATATGCTTGGACAAATCCTAGACCACCTTATTGAGATTGAAAAAAAAGAGGTGAAATTTGAAGAATAAAAGAGATCATATATGTACTAAGGTAAATTTCTACCAATGTTTGATTTTATACATAGAAGTTTATAATGTTTGTGTTTTGTAGGAAAATGTTTTTTGGAAGAAGTATATATAGTTATAGGAAGGAGAAAAACTATATTACTTTTTCTAAGTAAAATAAACATTTTCTCTTGTAGCTTCCATTATGGTTGAAATAAAATATGGTTTATTTCCTTTTTCTCCAATAATTTACTCTATCTTTTATCTTTTAGTTAGTGTTAAAAAAAAGTGTTTAATTTATTTAATTACTATAGAAGATTTATAGGAGTATGTGTCTTCTTTTTCTCAGTTGTGCTTCAAATTTTGTGACTTGAAACAATGAATGTTCATGTTCTTATTTTTTAAAATTAAATATTCAATATTCCCTCTTGCACTTATATTTCTTTTATCTTCATCATTATAGTTGTCAAAGCACTAAAGAAAGACCAATCCATGTTATACTTAATAAAAATTAATGGGTTTTTTTATTAGTTTGTTTACTCAGTTGATGTTGTGGATAAGTACTAAACTTTGTTAATTTTCTTTCTGATTTTAAAGAAAATATAAACTAGAACTAAAGAAATCTATTGTGAGCAAAATCTAGGAGTGTTAAAGTTAAATCTAATGTACTTAAACTAATAAATTAATCCTTTTTTATTGTTACTATTAAGATATGCATTTGATCAAAATTGATACATCATAACAATTAATTTATATTATAGCAATGGATATGACTCAAATATTCTCTTGGAAATGCTCTTGCTATGCATGCATGTTTTTTTGTTTTGTTTTGTTTTTATTTAACTTATAATATAAAATTTTTAGTAGTTTATTGGTTACTGTTTGGAAGGGAGTGTTTTAAAACATAAAATAAGCAAAGATTGCTTCCTTACTCAAATAGAAAAAACTAGCAACAAATCACAATTTAAAATTTATTGATTCTTGTAACGATTTTAAGATATTATATAATAATAAATCAAATATTCATTTATACTCTATTCGTCAATTTTGTGAGTCAATAAGGTTTTCCTTAACCATATGAATCTTCCCATATGCGTTTTAAATATTTTAAATTATCGATTATTATAACTTATAAAACATTTTAAATAATACCTAATATGTAAATGTTGTTTTCAAATGCTTATAAGTTTCATATCTGATTCTACAGTCAAAATTATTTTAAGAAAATTGTCTCTCAAACTTTAAATTGTATGATATGAATTGAAACATAGAGAATAGTACTCTCTTTGTCTCAATTTATATGACTCATTTTTCGTTTTAGTTAGTCTCAAAATGATACATTTTTATATTAAATTAATTTTATAAATATCTATTTTATCTTTAATGAAATAATCACACAAATATCAATATTTATTTTAAATTACAAAGTTCAATTTTCTTTTCTTTTACAAATTTTATATTATACATGAGCTACTGAATTCGTAAGAATCGACGTGTTACATAGAGCTTCTTGTATAAGAGATATTTCTTGGTTGCTTCTGTGTACATGTTTTGGGTAAATACATGCACTTACATTCAATGATATGACATAGCTAATCAAAAATTGTTCAATTATTACTTATATATATATATATATATATTCCCAACAAATAATACTAAATGACAGAGTTGACAATTTGTTCTTTTTGAATCCCACTTGCAAGGAACACTATAACTGGAATCACTGACTGACAAAAACTTGGTGAAGTTCGTGAATTCAAATAAATTTAATAATTTTTTTAAATATTTTATATTATATTAAAAAATTAATAAATAATTCCAAACTTTGTCTCTTTCTTTAAAAGGAAACTTAAAACCTTCCAAATTTTAATCTTATTTTCGCCTAAATAAAAAAGAGAAATGCAATACTGATGACAAATTGTGATAACCAAGCTAGATTTACATGCTACTATTTTTTTTTCAACAAAGTTGTTGATAAAATTTTTATTCACTTAGCGGACGTTTAGACATATAAAAAATATGAGATTTGTACTAAAAATGATACTATTTGAAAATTAGAGTTGTGAATGATTTAGACTTTAGAGTAAAAATTATGGAAATAGATTTTTGAAGTTTTTTAACTGTCATAAAATTTCCGTTGAATGTTAAAAAATTTCAACAATTCTATGTCCAAACTATTTTCGAGAATAAACTTTTGAAGGATAAAATGAAAATTATCTATAGTCAAATGGTACAACATAAGGGAACTCCTAGCTAGTATAATAGGGTTCGTTCATCTCCGATAATTTTTTGATTCAAATTTTATATATATATTCTTTTTTAAAATCATCAAATAAATATATTATAGATTTCGAATGTAACAATCAAATAGATATGATAGAATTTGATATTAAAACTCATAACATTAAAATTTTAAATTTGTTGTACAACATATATATTATATCTTCATGAGTGTATAGCGATGAACATAGAAACGATAGTATATCAACATATACTTTTTGAATTAAGGATGTATAGCAATGAACATATAAGTGATAGTATAAATAGGAGATGGTGATTAAGAGGAACTATCATTTTAAGTATTCATAGGTTAACACATGTAAATTCGAAAGACAATTAGAAATATCAAAGACTTGAAATAAAATAAATTTATATAATTTTGTACATAAATTACCAAGATATATATATATATAAAATAAGCAATGTACAGTCCAAACCCTAAAATATGACACCACTTGATGATTGTAAAAAAAAATACTTCATTGCAATAAGATAATTTTATGGTACTTGGCTTTAGGTTTAGTATAAAATATTAGTATAATTTGGTATTTGATATTTTTTGAATATTGATTATTTACTTAATGAAGGTCAATATATTAATATGTTCATTGCTCATTAGTATAATAAGTCTAACGAGAAAGTTAAAGAATAAACATAAACAACTCAAACACATATGTCTTTTAGTTGTATCTATTTGTTTTTTTAATGTCTTTTTACTTATTAATATTCTATAATATCGTGCCTCCAAATACAAAAATAAAAATAATTAGAAAAATAATATTAACTTTGTAATAACAATCAACTACAACTTCGATATGATATTACAAAATATCATATTCAATCAAAATTTAATTTATAAATTATCGATTTACCAAAGCAATATTTAAAAATTTAATATTTAATATCTATTTTTAATTATTTATTACCAATTTGAGAATTCTGAATCAAACATCGAACACTTGACCAAAAAAAACTGTAAATTTAAATTGTCATAAAAATGAGTTTGCGTATCATGTGCACATGTGGTAATAATTATTGCACATTATGAGTTGTAAAAGGGTTCCTACCAAAAAAGTTGTTGTATGTAATATTTAATTTGCTTCAACTATTTATCTATTGGTGCCATCTTGTCCCATCCACACTCATGCCCAATATTGTTGCTTTATTATTAACTATAATGTGGTTCAACAGATGAATCTGTTTTTTTTTATAAAGGTATAAATATGATTTTTTTACATGTGAAAAAGTTTTTTTTATAATCTATAAGTAAAAGACTAGTAATATGGATAGATAAATGTGATAAATATTGTGTAAGTTATAAAGAAAAACTAGTGGTCATAACTCATATGAATTACAAAAAGTTAATGACCATGAAAGTTACAAGAATCAGTACTTATCTTCCAACACAATTTAAATCAACTAACATATGCATTTTTCATATTATCTTTTCGTTCAGAATTATTTGTTATAATTTCTATTTTTAGAGTCAAACTATAAAAACGTTGACTAACATTTTAAGATGTATTTTTTCATATTAATATGCAAAAGATTGTAATTTATAGTACTTTTTATGTAGTTTTAGAATATCTAATTTTTTGTTTAAAATATCAAATTAATGTGATTTAATTTACCTTTGAAAATTAATCAAATTGACTTTCAATAAGCGTAACATAACAAACAATTCCGAACGAAAAGAGTATTTTAATAATAAAATGCATTTATATCAATAATATTCACATCATAAATTTGTGATACCATCACTGACGTGAACTTGTATGTTGTACACAATAAAACCATCATCTTTCTTCCTCTCTATTTCGAAGCCCAAAGTGTATAAAATATTAACAAAAATTTCAAAATAGTATATAAAATTTTATGTTGTTTCAGCGATTTCGCCGTTTTGATTAATATAAAATTTTATACACCGTTTTAAAATTTTTATTAATATTTTATACCCTTTAGGGTCCGAACTCCCACATTACTAACCTAAAAATCTATCGATTCTTCACGGAAATCACACAAGGCTATTAGACCTAACTTCAACTTAATAAACCAAAGTCATGTTTCTATTTCACCATTAACTAGATATTTGGTTATAGTTTTGTGTTCCAATCTTCATACTAAATACAATCATATGCCTAAATTAAACATATATGGTCAATAAATACTTATGAACATATCCATAATTATTCAAAATGGAGTGCTACTAACACTCAAAATATTATATCCCAAGTTTTTTTTATTTTAACAAAAAGATTTACAAACATAAAGGTCCCCTCTTCACATGAGTTCACGTGTCAACAAGGTTAATTAATTAATTTAATCTTAATAAAATATACTTAGCAACTTGGTCACAACATTCCAACACTAAAGTCTCGCAATATTAGTGGGGGTCCTATTAAATTCAATAATTTCAACTATTATTCACCCTTCTCTCTACTCTACACTAAAATAGTTAATTAATTCGAAACCAAAGGGGCCAATATAGAACAAATTGGTTCTTCCATTTGTTCCTATTGGCATCACACCACTAGCAACTTTGTGCTAACTACTTTTTAATTAAATTTCAATTCAATGTACTCAATCGATTAAAAGGATCTTGATTTTAAATCTGAATACAGAAAGAGAATTGTCGTAAGCCAAACAACAACAATATATTTAACATAATCTCATAAAAATACTATTTAATTATGAGTTACTTAACGATAGATTTCAATTTGTTTTGTAGTGGATAATCCAATCCGTGTTCACAAAGATTGGGAATAATATTGTGGCCTTGTTGCCACGGAATAAATTTTAAATCCTAGATGATTGTGTGTGTATATAATTGA